TGCATTTTTACTACGCTTTGATTGTGCTTTACCTGAACTTTTGACACGCATGACTTAAAATTTCGCGGACACGTGTACATTTCACATATCAATATTTTATTGGAGTCCAGACATATCTCTACGTCTGATGTTCGGACCTAATAATGTAATCAGAAAGTTTTAATATTTTATTGGAGTCCGGACCAAATTATGGGTAAACATTATGCATTAAACAAACACATACCTACACTAAAGTTTTAATATTTTTACACATCATTTAAAAATTTTACATTTATTTATATACTATTTTAATAATTAAGGTTTCATTTGGAATGAGTTTTTTATTGCTTCTTAAAGTAACTTTTTAATATAAAAATTAAAATTTTTTTACTAAAAAACTGTTTTAAGATGCAGTAAAAAAGCTTTCTCAAACCAAGCCTTAACTACCTCAAAATATACATGTATGAAAATATATTTATTTGATAAGTTATATTAATAGTAGATAAGTGGCAATTCTTACTACATTTTTGAATTGAAAATATTTGCAATTGATACGTCGTCATAAAATTATCTTGATCGGGCACGAATCTCGAAGCAAAAAGCTAGCCGGAAACTTCAAAAATTAAATCCGAGATCATCTGAACTCTGATTTCAGCAAACTTATAGTCGAACTGATCGTATCGGAAATACGAACCCAACTACACCAAATTCAACTCAATCCAAGCCCAAATGGGTCAGAATTGAAGACTCGAAGCGCTGTTAGAAGGTTCAAATCATAATTTGAGTTACCAAACGGTCTCGGATTTTAACGATCTTATAGTCGAATCGAGCGACTCGACGAGAAGAATCCAACGAGTCTAAGATCGACAAATTCTGACATCACTAAGGCCTTTAAATGTCCAAGGAATGGTGCATGATCAAGTGATTCAATATCAGCCGTCCATTCAAACCACTCCCGATTCGCCCCTGATCTCTCTTCTATTTACGAGCTATGCCACTCCGGAAAAACTATAAATAGAGCCCTCATTCTTCATAAGGGGGGACTCAAGCAAGAAGAAGAGAAGAAGAAGAGAAAGAGAAGAGAAGAAGTAGAAGAGAAGGAGGAGAATCAGCTCCTCCGTGACCACCGCCAGAGTTCTTCCCGCCGCCCGAACACATCGGAATTCTGCGGGATATTCAGGAGAACGTCAAAATTATGCGCAACTTTGTAACTGAATTTCAATTTAGAAGAAACTCTTTGTAATCTGATCGTCCTAACTTGTGGGAAGAATCAGCCTCTGTACTTCAAATAAACACTAGTGGAATTACTTCAACTGGGCGTGGCCCCGTGGTTTTTTCCCTCTTTCGGGTTTTCCACGTAAAAATCATGGTATTTATTTTCCTTTCCTGTTTGTGTGTTGAATATTCGTACAACACTAAGACTGAAATTTACTAACTCTACCGCAGCGTATATTCTAGCCCGCAACAGTTTGGCGCCGTCTGTGGGAAACATTATCCCACAACTTCAAGTATTGCTATGATTGTCAACAGACGCAGCAGTCGTATCATTGGGGCTTCTCGCTCCAACTTCCATCAGTCCATAAATCAGACTATAAATCATAGACGTCTGATATCTGCCTCTTTCTATCATGGGAGGGCAAAATGCCATTGGAGAAGGAACATCGGGACCTTCCTTAGAAGAGATAATTCGAAAGATAGAAGAATCTCAGAATGAAATTCTTCAACTCCTGCGAGAGACTCGGCAACCGACACTACCACAAATGGAGGAAGTGCTTCTCCCTCGAGATCTACTACGGGTTGAAGATGTTTAATTCAAGCATCTTCAAGCAGAAATTCCTCTTCCTCCCCCAAGAAGGCAGATACATACGAACAACAAACTCACTGATACAGCAAGTTCTACACATCCTTCACCCTCAACTCGGCAGCCTCGCATTCTTCCAGATCTCCCAGAAGGCTCAACCCAACCACACATTGCTGAGCTCCCTCATAATGCTCAATGTCATGAATTGCGAAGATTGGTACGGGAAGAGTTCCCCCGAGGAGATGTGAGGCAAGCTCTCTGACGAAGGAACTTCCATGAGTCATGACCTCTAACCGAAGCCATTCTTCAGCACCCCATTCTGGTTGGATTCAAAGTACCAAATGTTGAGTCCTACGACGGGACGACCGACCCGTATGAGCATATCGACTACTATATAACCATCATGCATATTCAATGAGCATCGGACGCACTCCTTTGCCTAGTTTTTCCTACCACTCTTAAAGGACAGGCTTGAACGTAGTTCTACTCGCTTCCATCCATAACGATCCCCTCATTCGTCAAATTAGCTAAGGCTTTTGTCGAACAGTTCGTAGCCAACCAAAGAATAGCTAAAGATTCTTCCCACCTCTCTGGAATCTGTCAGAATGAAGGAGAATCGTTGAGGGAGTATTTCCAACGATTTTCCACTGAAGCTCGACAAATCCCAGGAGTAGATCCTGAATTGTTGAGAGGAGTCTTTCTTGGAGGTCTTCGTCCTGGCCCTTTCTATTCAGCTCTCATGCGTGACACTATTCATTCGTATGCTGATCGAATCCATCGTGTGGAGGCGCAAATCTCTGCAGATGAGGCCATAAATGCTCATATGAAGCAGTTTGAGCAAATCAATGGGAAGCGTAAAGGTGCATTTAGGATGGACATTTCATTCTCACAACAGAAAAAGCAAGGGAAGAATAATCTACCTCCTAGGCCTCCATTACCGCGATGGGAACCTCGGCAAGAGAAGGAGTATATCCCACTCAACACATCTCCAGCAAATGTATTGATGGCTATTCAAGATCAATATACGTTGAAATGACCGAATCGTTTGAAGTTGAACACAGGAAATCCAGATCAGTACTGTCACTTTCATCGTAGTAGTGGTCACACTACCGAAACCTGTAAGCAACTTAAGGATGAGATTAAAAGACTTATCCATCAGGGCTATCTTCGACAATTTATTTGAGATCCATCTACCCGAGAGGAAGCTCATCCCGTTGGGGGGCAAAATCAATAACAAATGCAATCTTTGAATAATATTCAAATGATTAGTGAGATTGAATGATCACACACTTCGTGCATTTGTATTAATAATACTACTTGTCTTGTTGTCTCTTTTATGTTGAGTAGGGTGTCACTTTGATATCTTTAATGTCTTCTTCCAAGTTAAATGTTGTATTGTGCCAGTGCGTATATCTTATGTGTTGAGTCATTATAACTTGTATATTCCTAAGTTATACTTGGGAACTATTATACTGTCTTACATAATACAGTAATATGATGTTCACGTTGTTATGATATTATTTTCTCTTATTAAAGATAAAAAAATTTTCTCAAACTCTTTCTCTGTGATTCGAGAAATATACAATCTATATTGTATCTCAATCAGTTGATGATCATTCCCAGTGGGATTTGATCTCGACCTCTCCTATACAATTTAATGTCATCGAGTAAAGGCTCCAACATACAACCTCGGATAGGTCTCATATCCTCGGTGGATTCTCTCGACCTCTTCCATACATGTTAACGTTATCGAGCAAAGGCTCCGACATACAACCTCAGATAGGTCTTACATCCTTGGTGGATTCTCCCAACCTCTTCCACACAGGTTAACGTCATCGAGCAGGGCTCTGACATACAACCTCGAATAGGTCTTACATCATCGGTGGATTCTCTTGACCTCTTCCATACAGGTTAATGTCGTCGAGCAAAAGCTCCGACATACAACCTCGGATAGGTCCTACATTCTTGGTGGATTCTCTCAACCTCTTCCACACAGGTTAACGTCATCGAGCAGGGCTCTGTCATACAACCTCGGATAGGTCTTACATCCTCGATGGATTCTCTCGACCTCTTCCATACAGGTTAACGTCATCGAGCAAAGGCTTCGACATACAACCTCGGATAGGTCTTATATCCTTGGTGGATTCTCCAGACCTCTTCCACACAGGTTAATGTCATAGAGTAGGGCTTTGACATACAATCTCGGATAGGTCTTACATCTTTAGTGGATTCTCTTGGTCTCTTTCACACATGAATATAAAATTCTGGAAGACTAAAAAACCTCAAAGAGCACGAAAGGCACATTCAAAGCATACCTCAAAGAGGTGTGAAACAACTTAATTTTCTTTGGATGATGAGTTCATTTCAAATGAAAAACAAGAATCGAGCTCATACAATAATCTCAACTTCATTTACCATATCATTGGAGTTATATTACAAGATTGTACATCAAGCAACAAGACAGATTACAATTTGATCTTCATCAAGCCTCAAATCAGTTAGCACTATACGTGTGTTTCCAGACCACTAACATAACACACTGCTCCGGCCCCTTGACTCAGTGATATCTATTGTCGATACACTTCAATTTGGATGCATATTGCATGGGCAAAATGCCATTGGACTCTTGCCATCATTCCGTCATTCGTCTGATATTTACTGGCGGTCCTTCACTTCATATCGACCATCATCGGCTTCTCACTCAAATGCTACTTGCAGTGCACCCTCAAACTCTCTCCTTCAACTCCACACTT